ACGGAAGACTACATTCCTGAACCCCTAGATGAAGATTTTCAACAACCAGACTTATCATTTTTTGGTACACCGAAAATGAATGAAGAAAGTCCTATCTTGGAGCAACAAMATAGTGATATTCGAGCTGGTAGACAAACATCACGAGAAACTCCAACAAATACCAATGTAGGTGAACCATCTCGAAGGAGGGCATCTCGAGTCCAAACATCTGCTAATAGAGGTCGTAMCACTCGTCYAAGAAGYGAGTTCGAAGGAACATTTACTGATGCCTTTCAGGGGATGGRCGATGCGAGACGAGCAACCGTTTCTGCATTACGTCCAGATCGGTTTGATCCGGAATCTAGAATCGGACGAGGCTTGGAATTTAAGCTAGGACGAACAAAACAATTAAGTTATTAGCCGAAACTGCAGTTCCCATGTTCAGTTTTTTCTCAATATAGTTCATAAGTTTAATACGTGATCTTGTCATAGATGCATCAATTCAAACTTAAAAACAAAATAATACCAGTAAAAGAGAAAAATTTTCTGGTTTACCAGAGCAAGACTTACTTACAATGTTCATATTCTCTTCCATTGTCGTTTTTATCTCGAAGAAGTTCCAATGTGCTGTCGAGTTTAATTGTACGGACAGAATGACTGAAAATAGATTTCTAAAGGAGGAGAACAACATAACAATGTAAACTTTACAGAGAAGTTCGATTGTCTGGCTTGACATAGAATGAAAATGAATAAGATAGGATAACTTACAATTAGAAGAACCATTTCTCTCTATATATTCATGACTCCGGACTCGGCCATTGTTTTATATTAGCACAAAGAATAGATCATAATGACGCCTATTAAGAACTAAAAGATCTACTACCACAATAGAAAACAAAGAGGTACCTATACTGAAACCTCTTAAGAACTAAAAGATCCAAAAAAAAACATCATGTAATCAATCAACACAACTCCTGATTATTGTCCATAGTAAAACAGCTAACCAGTAGTTGAACCATACTGGCACTAACACACAACCAACATTTTATCCTCTATATTGAAAAGAAAAATGAGAAATTGAAGCACCATATAGCATTTGTTTCGAATCGAGGGCGTTATGAAAATGAAAATTCCAGTCAAGCTCCTCCCCATCTCTTAAAACTCTGCGAAATCAACAATGACCTGTAAATTTGTCGGAAAAACATATCTACAAGTTCTTTTTCCATAAAAAAATTATAGATGATGGTCGACAAAAGATAACATATCAAACTCATTTTTGGTATATTTGAACACGAAGTACGGATCATAAAATAATCGGGATGCGAATATAAGGTATTTGTCTCTAACAATAGGTGGCTTATAATTGAATGAATAAACAATTTCAGATGCATATGAGATAAGGTCAGACCAAAAAGCCTTACAAAGTTTTTTTATACTTACGGATTTAGTTCTGAGCATGATCTTATTCTTAGGCAGCGGTGTGCCACTTTGAACATTTGTCTACGCTCAAGACTAATGGAAAACGCAACCGAGGCAAATAGATCTCCCTCGTCACCAGAATCATCATCAACGCCAACTTATCACCGAAATTGCCTAAATCCAGTCACGCATAAGTCTCCATCCCTGATTCGTTACACGTCGATTAGATAGAATCTTAGACAGCGATGACCAACCTTTTGTTTGGAGGTTTCGGGAGCAGACCTAGGACTCACTGCAAAAGAAACACCATCCTTCACATCAACTCTCAGATGTAAAAATAAATTTAGAGCTGTCACAATGGGAAAAAAAAAACATGCAAAGAAGATTTCACCTTGTTCTGTAGAAAAATAAATGTTTCTTTCACGAGAGTGTCCCTCTGTCTGTCCAAACACTCTCCCTGTGGGTATCTCCCTCCAGCTCCATGTATAAACTTCATGGTTCTCTGGGAAAACAAAAATCTCTAAAACAATCAAGATATGACCTTGGAAACAGATATGGTCAAGCTAATTCAGAGCATGAAAATGCACCTGTTACTGCCACACAATGAGCCCATCCAGCCTCAGCTCTCTTTACACAAACATCAGGAGGAAGAGGAAAAGGCTCTGGAGTTTCCTATAAAAGTAGAAATGTGACTAAAACTCATAAAGTGTAATTTCAAATAGACTGTAACATAGAGAAATCAAATTAACACAATGCAGGAGAAAGATTAGATCAAACTTTACCCCATGCTTCCTAGATGTCACATAGCTTTGACCTAAATCATCTGTTGCACCCCATGCAAGGGCATCTCCAATCTCACTCTAAAACCCACTCCAAAATGAGATTTGGAGTAAAATTCTTTTCAACCCCACTCCAGTAGACCCATTTTTTACTCCATATTTGGAGTAAACCCATTTCTTCCTCCATTTTGGAGTTAAACTTTTTTATTTATAAAAAGATCATTTAGCTTTTAAATAATTATAGTTTTGTACTTAAAATATATTATTAAAAAATATTTTGATTATTGTTCCGTTAGTTTTCAACAAAACATTAGGAATGATTGTCAATATAATTACTGATTCCAATTCCACTAGATTTAATAAACTTATCAATGTCCACACTTTGAAAAAAAAATACGTAACCACAACATTATTATGTAACGAATAATAAACTTAAATTGGATTAAATTGATCATAAACAAACTTAAATTGATGACTAATATTAGCGTAGCCCAAACTAATTTGATTTATAAAACAAATAACTTTGTAATGATATAATTGATTATAAAAAAAATGATTTAATTGATCATTTATCAGAACAAATTACTAATAATGATGCTTGAATATAATTATA